CAGTGAAATTTAATACACTTCAAAATTGAAACAGATTATAAAATAGTACAGAAAATGTCATATAGTAAATGTTGTTTAACAAATTTTGGGGACAGTATCTTTGTGTGGACACACACTTCCTGTGCATTTCTTTCAGTGAATTCCTGTTTAAAAGAAGGGTGGAAAAAAAAAGAAGGGTGAAAACTATGGGTTTCTAAGCAGTTTCTTGGAGGGGGAAAGAAAAGCACAGATTAGCAAACATGCTAAAGTTTCAACCGTTCTCCCCCTCTTTTATAAAAGCACAGAGGATCCTTGTTCCCAGGACATTGGGAATTCTGTCAATAAGTAATATATTATATTGCAAGTTAAAAATGTTCTTAAGTTGGCAAGTAAAAATACACATTTTTGTGTACATTTATGGTAAATAATATGATGTTTTAGTATACGAGTGCATTGCAGAGAAGCTAAATCAAGCTGCTTAACACTTATACTATATCACATATCATTTCGTTATTGAGAATAAAATCTACTCCCCCGGCGACTCTCAAATATACAATATACGGCTGTAACTATAGTTGCCATGGAAACTGCAGTTCTCTCAAAAGTATAATTGCTAACTACAGTTTTGTGTCCTTTGACTACATCTGTCCAGTTCTCCTACCCTTCAGTCCCTAGTAACTTAGCACCATGCTTTTTCTCTCTCTGTTTCATGTATTTAAATTTTATACTTTAAACATAAATGGAATCTTGCACTGTTTTTCTTTGTGTGGCTTATTTTACTTAACGTGATGTCTCCCAAAGTTCACCCATGTTGTTGCAAATGGCAGGGCCCCCCCTGCCCCTACCGCTAACTTTTAAAAAAAATGCACATTATTCCATTGTATGTATTTAATACATTTCGCTTGGCCACTTGTTTATTGAGTGCAAGCAGAGGGTGTGTGTAAGAGAGGGGGTGTGTGTGTATGGCCCTCAGTGAGTGTGGTATAGAGAAAGCAGAGTTGAGGTTTTCTTTAAGTGTTTCATAGGCAAAGGGATGGAAGAAAAGTGTGTTGAGTGAAGAGTTAGCATCGATGGCAAGCATATTTGGGAACTGATGAAGAACCTGACCTAAGCCTAACAGTGTAGACTTTAGGAATAAGGAGCAATATGTTTGTATTAGAAGGAGGGGTGCTTGTAAGTCTGGCTTCCTGATATGCACAAAGAGGCATGGAGTTTCAAGACGACAAACTGACATTGGTTTGAATATGAGACTGAATATTGGGATGAATTAAGGCAGGACACAGCTTTGTACCCAAATGGCCTACCATGGCCTCTGGTCATCAAGTACGTGGCTTATGGGTTAGAGAGGGTAAGCTAATCTGGGCTAAGGGAGGGAAGAAAATCACCTTTGATGATTGTAATTGATGCTGTGTACAAATGAAAACACCATGCTCTTAAGGAGGAATTTCTAATTTCTTACTCAGATTTGCAGGAAGCTGCTAGCCTCCCTCATCATGGCAGCTAGGCTCTCCAGAGGAATACAGTTAGCTATTCTCATAATGAAAACTTAACTCAAATGTCAGTTTTTTTTCCTTAACACACCCCAAAGGGCGAGGAGTATCTAATACTTTTGTGTTTTCTAAGCTTATGTGAAGTTTAAATGTGCTTAAATGTACAACGTAATGAGTTTGGATAAATGTACACACGTACACCTCACCTCAAGAGAGTGAGCACTTACATCTCTCAGAAGATTATTTTTTTTGTCTTTCCTGCCATCCCTTCACTCCCTTCAGAAATCATTATCTTGGGTAATTAGCATGCTCGTCACCCTGAGCCTTCATTACAACCACAGTAAAAAGGAAACCGTTGTGTGATGCCTATCGCCACTGCAGCATTGTCTGTTTCTGGATTCCATATAGATGGCTTTTTTTCCCCTGCCACCATAGTATTTTATTTTTATTTTTATTTTTTGGTTAACCAACACTGTTACACATGTCAGAAGTTTGTTCCGTTTTAGAGTGAAGTGCTGTTCCTGGTAGGAATTTGACACCATTTAAAATTCATTCTCTTGATTTGCAGTATTTCTGGTGTTTGACGACGTGAGTAAATCTGATGTGAATTCTTATTTAATAGGCCTTCTTGTTCGTGTATGTTTCATTTCACTTGAGTGAACAGGTAGGGTGGACTTTCTGGGTTACAGATGAATATTTGACTTTACAAGAAATCGTGCTTCAATGAGCTCATAACGTTTTGTGTTTATAGCTAGGTCGCGTGGTCCCAGATTCTCACCATTGGTGTTAGTATTAGCCCTTGTAGCTTCTCTGGTGGGATATCACTGTGCTTTGAGTTTGTGCTTTCTTGATGTCTTGTGAGTGGGGACATGTACTGTCCTATCGGCTGTGGCACACCTTGAGACATCTGTTCAAATCATTTCCCCAGCTTCCTTAGCTGGGCCTTTTTGATCTTCTGTGGGAATTCTCTATATATTTTGAGTTGACTTCAGGTATCTGTACTGTGGATATTTTCTCCCAGACTGTAGGTTTCCTTATTTCCTCAGCGCTGTTCTTGGATGAGAAGTTGACCTGCCTCTTGATCGTGCCTTATTTATGAACGGTTTCTTTTTTGGTGACTGCTATGAGTTTTATACGATAAACTTTTGTCTTTCTCACGACTGCTAAACTCCCTCCTGTCTTCCTTCTTCTGTCTTTTCTTCTGACTTTCACTTTGGTTATAGGGTTTGTGGCCTTTGACTCCTTAGATTTATGTGACTTTCAGTTCCATCACCCCATCATCTGTCCTTAGTGTGAGTCTTCTCAGATTGGATGGTTTAAAAAAAATGCCTTTGTTTTCTAAAGGATTCATCTTTCTTCAGTTTCTGTCCATTTTTTGGTTACTATTGCTCTCCAGAGACTTTTGTCATATATCCCCTGTGCTTGATTTAGTATTTATTCTGCCAGATCATTTTGGTTTCTACTTTGTGTTCCTTTTTTCCTCACTAATTTATTTATTCACTTTTCATCACAGTTGTAGCCCCCTCCTTTCTCTTCTCGTGGTCTTACCCTTCTACTCTCTTTCCCTTCTCCCCTCCCCTTCTCCTCAGAAAAGGGAAGACCTCCCCACCAACCTATCCCAGCTCATCAAGTTGCAGCAGAACTAGGCGCATCTTCTTCCACAAAGACCAGACAAAGCAGTCCAGCTAGGGGAAGGTGCTCTAAAAACAGGCAACTGCATCCATGTCAGAGACAGCCCCCACTCCATTTGCTATTGCACCCACATGAAGACCAAGCTGCCAATCAGCTTTAATGTGTAGGGGCCTAGATCCAGTCCATGCATGCTCTTTGGTTGCTGGTTCAGTCTCTGTGAGCCCCCATAGGCTTAGGTTAGTTGACTCTGTTAGTCTTCTTGTGGCATTCTTGTCCCCTCCAGGTCCCTCTATTCTTCGCTCAACTCTTCCTTAAGACTCCCTGAGCCTCTCCTAATGTTTGGCTGTGGGTATCAGCATCTGTTTCGATCTACTGTTGAGTGGAGCCTCTCTGAGAACAGTTATGCTAGGTTCCTGTTGTGTGTGTCTTTCTGGGTCTGGGTTACCTCACTCAGGATGATACTTTCTAGTTCCATCCATTTGCTTGCAATTTCATGATTTCCTTGTTTTTAATAGATGAGTAGTATTCTATTATGTAACTGCACCATTTTTTTTTTCCATTCTTTGGTTGAGGGACATCTGGGTTGTTTCCAGTTTCTGGCTTTTATGAATAAAGCTGCTATTAACATAGTTGAGCAACTGTCCTTGTGGTATGGTAGAGCATCTTTTGGGTATATGCCCAGGAGTGGTATAGATGGGTCTTGAGGTAGAACTATTGCCAATTGTCTGAGGAAGTGCCAGATTGATTTCCAAAGCGGTTGTACAAGTTTACACTCCCACCAGCAATGGAGGAGGGTTCTCCTTGCTCCACATTCTTACCAGCATGTGCTGTCACTTGAGTTTTTGATCTTAGCCATTCTAATAGGCATAAAATTGATAAGTGTAAACTTGATAAAAAGAGCACAGAGTATGTTTTTTTAACTTTTGTTCCCTTCCAATATCTGATCCAGAGCCTCACCTTTCACATAGCAACTTTCACTCAGTAAAGGTTAAATTGCATTGTTGTTTTATGCAAGCCAATTCCGAGTCAGGATTTCAACCTGCCACTCACAATTTAACTTCTATTTTTAGATTCTACCCAAAGATGAGCCCAAGGGAGATTATTTTACAGTAGATTTTTAAACTAGGCTATTCCTTTTACCTTTTTATTGTTTTTAAAAATATTTATTGTTGTTATTATTATTTAAATTCATTTCACTTTTTTTATCATGAGATTATTAACATTGTTAAAGGTGCATCCTGAAACCGCTGGATCTTTCAGCCACGGTTAATACCGAAATATACTTTTTGAACTAATTTTATGCCTAGAACAAACCTATTTTTCTGTGTAAAATGGAGCAGTGATATCTTTTATACATAATATGTATATATGCTAGGTTTTATGTCACATGTAGAAGTGATAGATTTGAATGATTTTGTTTTCAAAGAAGACTCTAATGCTTTTTTAGATTGGATTAGATTAGATTTTTCAAGATCATCTTATAGGGAACAACGAATTTGTCCCATCAAATCATACCTGTATTAATAGCATTTTAGAGGGGTGTTATCAATTCGCCTCTGTTATAACATCAACATTCTCCATTTATGGAAATGTGACTCCAGCCTATCTTAATAAATTAAGACGTGTTTAGTCATTATTACTACTCACTACTGAGCAAATTCTTCTTCCTTAAGATACTTTAACACAAAGGGATGCCAGACATTGTTCTCAGTGGGAATTTTGGTTTGTTGAATAAGGCTTGGGGTTATTGCAGATGTCACTGGTCCCCATGGTTATGGCACAAGTTGTATTATTTGTCCAATAGCATGCAACCACTGCATTTTATAAGCTTGCCTTTTTGATCACTCGAAAGACAAAAGTTGTTTGATAAAGCTAAGTAATTCTCTCTTTCTCCTTTAGAATCAAGTTTCTTACTGGGAAATGCCCAAATTGTGGACTGGCCTGTAGTTTATAGTAATGACGGTTTTTGTAAACTCTCTGGGTATCATCGAGCTGATGTAATGCAGAAAAGCAGCACTTGCAGGTAAGTGGCTCAAGCAACTTTGAAATCCTTTCCAAATATGGGCCAAATTCTGAGGGTGGCTGAGAGGTTTGTGTTTACTTTTACTCATGAATGGATGAGAGTTGTGTTAGAGAAGTGAAAAAAAGGACCTAATTGTGAACAGCAAATATATACGTTAAGAGCTGTTTCTGATAACCTTTGCAAAGGAAGAGTTTTGCTTCTATGTGAATTAATTCACTCATGAAAAAAAAATTGTTTTGGTTACCTATAATGAGCCAGGAGGAGAAGGTACTCAGTGATCATGGGAGTAGTCAGAATTAGGGCGCCACTGCTGACATCGACACCCCTTGAGCAATTAAAATCGTCCCTAACAAAATAGAAACCATGACCCAGCCAAGTGGAGCCTGGTTCATAAGAGCTTAAAGGCGCGAAAATGAAGCCCATCAATTACTCCGAGCCAATCATATGCCTTTACACACTAGGGTGTATATTCACACATACCCTAGCGGTTTGTTTTATATAAAACAAAATCTCACATTTGTATTACTTAGGACAGCTTTCACATTAGGCCATGTTTACAAGTTAAAGGAGAACTATGATAAAAGGGGATCACAAAGCGAACAAGCCAATACATAAAATAACTAATTTAGAATCTAAATCTTTCCCACCATATTTCATTAAGGATGGATGGGACCCCACCCCCATCTCTTGCCGCTGCCTTGGTTTTTCTTTAAATTTCTCACTTAACTAAGTGTTGGAGTCAAATGATTTTAGAACTGAAAAGGATCTGGACTTTTCTTTCTGCTTCATGTTCTGAGAAAACACAGGTGGTTCTGTGTTATGTGACTTGGCCAGATAAGCAGGGAGATTTCCGGTTTCTGTTCGCTACCCATTTATGCTGAGATGCAGTGTGTGTGTGTGTGTGTGTGTGTGTGTGTGTGTGTGTGTGTGTGAATGGTTTATAGACCTGTGAATGATCCGCATCTTCATGAAGTCCAAATCTGACACTACACACAGAAAAAACTTAAATAGCCTTTGCATAACAAATTCTAACACTCTTAAATCCGTTAATCCAGTGTTAGCCAAAACAGATATGCAGGGCTAGTAGCTGGCAAGTTAAACCAGAAGCTCAGGTGATTTTAATGTTTATCAAGGCTTGAGAAATAATCTGTTCACAGTTCCTCTTCCCCATCTTTCCACCACTAGACACCCTCATTTTTTTTAATACTGATGTTATTCCTACATTTTTCTATACTCCAAAGAATGAGTGTTATAAGAATTATAATATTGTATTCTCACATGTGGGGGTTATTATATACAACGCCCATTATAAGAATAAATGGGAGTAATGAAAACTGTGGTCTGTGGATGAGACATACCTTTGGTAGTACTTATATATATATGTTAACATGGTAGATATTTGATCTTTGTGCTAGAAAAACCATAGAACACTAAGGGTGTGTTCATTACAGCAATGAGGTGGCATATGTGTCTCGTCTGTCATCGTGTCCATGTATTTTCAGGAGAGTTTAAGTTAGGAAAAGGGAAAGCTTTCCGGTCAACTTTATTCTGTGGGACAGGCATTATAAAGAGTCTAATAGAACATAAAAGCTCCCCTATCTTTTCTTCTTGGATGGCTGGTTCCTTGTTTTTGTGCCAGATGCCATTTTCCACCTAATGAGATCTATAATTCTCCAAGCAAGACGTGCTTGTCCCTTCTGTGATTCCAGATCGTACATCGTGTACATCTTTGCTTGCAACACCATATTTGTTTTAAATGAACTTGCTCTATTTGTGTATGTATTATGTATGCACATGTATGTATGTATGTATGTATAAAGTGTGTGTATGGGTATGTGTGTGTATGGGTGTGTGTGTGCAGGTATGTGCATGTGGGTGTGATATGTGCAGGTATGTGTCGATGTGAGTGTCTGTACTCATGCATGTGTAGGCCTGGGAAGAACATCCTCCTGTGTCTTCCTCTATTGCTTTCTCTTCTTTCTTTCTTTCTTTCTTTCTTTCTTTCTTTCTTTCTTTCTTTCTTTCTTTCTTTCTTTCTTTCTTTCTTTCTTTTCTTTCTTTCCTTCCTTCCTTCCTTCCTTCCTTCCTTCCTTCCTTCCTTCCTTCTTTCTTCCTTTCTTCCTTTCTTTCTTTATCTATCTATCTATCTATCTATCTATCTATCTATCTATCTATCTATCTCCATAGCTATCTATCATCTGTAATTCTATTTATTGTGTGTGTGTGCCAAGTGCTGTGGTGTGATTATGGCAGTCAAGGCACAATTTGTGGGAGCCAGCTTTTTCCTTCCACCTGGTAAGATCCAGGAACTGAGCTCAGGCAGTCAGGCAGTCAGGCTTAGCCACGGGTGACCTTCCCCACTGAGTCAGCTCACCAGCCCACGCTCACTTTTGAATGCACTATTTGCGGAACACAAGAGCGTGCTGTTATCTGTCTTTGTTAAATTATATTGTCTTTCTTTCACAGTAAACTCTAACACAGGTCTCCCATGCTTCTGCAAAGCATGATTTATTTATGGCATCTCTTCTCCAGTGTTAGAGCATTCCAGGAGATTTTGGATTATTTGGATTTTTCCATTGTGAAACAAAGTGAGCGTGTCTTCCCTCGCTCTCCTCCACCTTGCAGAGACACACTTTCAAGAACGGCCATGTTTTAAATAAGCAGTCTTTCCTCACTTGTACACAGTATGAAGTGTGTTTTGCTTCTCTAAGGATTGCAGTCGTTTAAGGCCCACACAGAGTGGGTGTTGAATGAACGGAGCATACCCCAGCCCTGACAGCTTTTCTTGGAAGCATGATTTGTGTAAATGCATTTCCATTTGAAACTCTCTCTTCCGCCTTTTTTAAAAAAAATAAACTTTACCCATTTTGAATTGACTGCACCATTATTTAGAGGAGTGAAGATCTAGAAATGATCAAAATATCAAGTTGTAGGAAATCTGCTTTAAAATATTATGACAAAACTCTAACTTCCTAAACCTCATATGCTGAAAGTACAACAGTGGATAAAGGGAATAACACATTTCATGACTGAAAAAAAAAAAAACAAGACAAACAAACAAACAAACAAAACCCCCATGCGTTTATTAAACAGGTTCTGTGCTTTGAGTCTAATTTTTTGTAATGTGCAGATTTCTCTATTTCTTGAGCAATTTCATAGAATCTTTTTGACATGAGGTGCAGGGATACAGAAGAAGGGAAGAAGAAAATTATAGCCAGATTTACAAACATAAGGTTAGTGTGAAAGGGCACCATGTTATGGTCAGTTGTTCCAGACTCACTGAATTCTACAGCAATGCGCTGGTCAGTGACTTCACACAGTAAAGAGCTTTGAAAAGAAATCAAATACTTTTTTTTTTACTGGTGCTTGGACCTGTACAATTCCTTTTACTAATCTTTAAAGTTAGCATACCTCTGTTGAGGGACATCTAGTTTTTTTATTTTTCCAGATTCTGACGGTTACAAACAAAGCTGCCGTGAACATAGTTGAGCAAACATCCTTGTTCAATGATGAGGCACGTAATGGGCTTCATGATGGCATTTCCACAAATATATGACACCAAACTTGGTTCTTTACCTTCCTCTCCTGCTGTCCTCCCTCCTCTCCCTAGCTCCTCCTTGCTGACCCTCATCCCCCCCTCAGGCAGCCCTCCTTCTTGATTTCATGTCACATGTATTGTTATGCTCTTTTCTATCACCTCTCAGTTAAATGTAATAAAAGAAGTAATCATAAAATAGCATCACTGAATCTGAAAAGGAAGATGACACAAAATGTCTTTCCAAAGGATGCAGTTTATCAGGAGAATGGGCCTTGAGGCCATTGGCAGAAACCTGATGGTAAGGTCTAAAGATGGTAATTTTACTGATTTTAATGACTAATTTTATGCAAATGTATGAAAAAAGAAACCAGTGACTAACAAATTAGTGATCCTCGGCAATGGCACCATGTAGCAGAGAAGAAGAAGAATATGTAATGTATATGATATGTATCATTTGATTATTTGAGTTAAAGTCAATAGGATTGGAATGACAATGAGGTAAATAGTGACACATCACACTTTTAAAATATCCAAATGTGAATGAAAATTTAAAAAAAATGTCAAATTGTGTTTTTACAGTATCAGGAGACTGAGATTTATTTCTTCTGTCTTTTTATCTTTTTCCATCTTTTCCCCAATCTCTGTTCCACTGGATGGAATCAAATTAAACACAATTTTCACCTTGTGATAACACTGCCATTTCATTATCTTTATTTTTTTCCCCAAAGGCTTCATTTCATCTTCATCTTGTTCTCTTCTTCCCGTGGCTACCTGGAATATGCATTGTGTGTCTTGCTAGTGCACTCTACTCATTGACTAAATATAGATTCCTGAAATGGAGTTGCTTTCTATATGTCCATTTTTAAGACCTTCAGGACTGCACTATGAAACCCTTGTCATTACTTTGACTGTCTTCATCCACCATTATGTTTTTGAGACATCTTTAAGCCTTTATATGACACATTCATTTGACCATAGTTGACTATAGTTGAGTCCTTGACTGTCACTGGCCTTCCTTTCATTTATCCATTCTATCCATGACATCCAACCCCCATACTTCATACCTCAAACATGTTAGAGATGGGAACCTTACATACATCCCAGCCTTGTAGGAAAAAATACTTTGTTTCTGAGCTAGAAAGGGTATGAACTGAGGCAGTGTGACATGTGCAAAGTCTGTAAAGGATCCCTCACGTTGCTGTCCAGAGAGCCTTTCTAGTTTCACAGTTGCCAACCATGGCTGAGGCTTCCGGTTGTCTGGTTCCTTGCCATGTCATAACACACGCAGCACTGTCTTACTTTTGTTTTTGCTAAAGTAAAATGAAAAAGATGCTCTATAACATATCAGGATTCCAAGGAGTTTCTAATCTCTTTTGCTTTATAATTCAAAGGACGAAAGGTTTTAAGGAAAGTCATTTGAAACCTGCTGTCACAGGTTAGGTGGGGACTACACAGCCTTCTA